GGGTCTCAGTGTAAATCCTGTTCCTCTTCTGTCAACGGTGGTGGCCTGCTTGGACCAGTTCAGTTTGAACTCACATTTACCTCGCTGTCATGTGTGCTTTGGAAGTTCATCCTAGGATTGCTTCCTATTCCTTCATATGATCTGCTGCTGCGCTCATGTGCTAAGCAGCCGGTGCTTAAACCAGATTCTCCAGCTGAAAGTAACTGTTATCTATTTCTTCTCCATTTGGCAACAGAGATGATGTGTTTTGGTAACTTGTTCCTTATTCTAGACTGAAGCTGTACTAGACTGCTCTGTGCTTGCTGAGCATTTGTTAATACTCTCTGGACTTCAGTCCCGAGCCTTCAGAGTTTGGCTGCCAGTGTTTTTGCACTTCTCAGTGTAGATGAAAACTTATTTTGGTGTGAAATTCTTTCTACTGTTTCTGAACAGCAGGCCAAGACCTTCGTGCAGTCCATGGAAATGCTGATCCTCACTGCTTCCTTACGTGGGCTTTTCTCCCCCATTTGCCATGCTCTCAGGCATCCTCCCATTTTGCATTCCTTAATCTAACCCCAAGTATATTTTGTATCAGTTAGAGCTGCAGTCACTTGGCAAGGCTTTATGATTCTGGCAGTGTTTGGATATTGGGAATATCTAGGTGGAAGATGTCGTTCATTGCAATACTTCTACTTTGAGCTCCTTACCGTCTTTTCTTGAGGGGCTAAATCCACTTTGGAATTCATCAGACAACTAAAATCTACTATACTTAAACACTACCCAGCTGTGTCATAAGCTTGGCAGGAACCTGAAATTACATTAGAAAAGTTTTTACTGACAATGGCTCTGATAAACATCCTAAGCTTTGTGAAACTTGTGTACTAATGTTCCAGAATTATGTAGTGGTGTCCTCTCCTTGACCCTGAACTCTAACTTTGCTGTTTTACCAGTAAGACTAACTTTTGGTGACAACTTTTATCTGTCTGCATTCTCTCATTATCAAAGTACCAGGATATTCCCATTCAAATCTTTCAGGCAAGGATACCTGATGAAGGCAGGAATGAGCAGGGTCCCTGGATTGCAGTTATGCTGCCAGTGAGTAGTAGGACAGCCTCCAATCATGGCATGAAGATTAAAGGATATATTTCAGGAGAAATATCTAGAAATACATAGCAGGATTTGCAAGTCAAGCATGTATTTTTTGTGCTGGCTGTACAGATTCATTTAAGAGTCCTGTCTCAGGACAGTACTGCTACTTTGATATGAAGTTCTGCTCTGATACGTTTGTATTGCTGCAGGTTGCCATCTGAAACATTAGCTTCAGTATTTAAACATCACCCCTTTTAGAAGTATGGCGCTGCAATGATGGCTTGGAACCACAGCAGTGATGTTCAGAAGTCTCAGAAGTGCATGCACCATAACAATATTCAGGACAATTAGCATGTCCATCAGTGCTACAAGTTAATATCTCCTTAGATGAGCAGCTATCTTGACTGGACAGGCTTTGCATATTGGCTGCTTTCTTGCTCTTTGATGTTAAAAAAAAAAAACAAAAAACAACTGAATTACGTCCTATAGGGAGGTAGTTTAATTCCAGTGTTGATTGAAAATATTTTTTATGTATGAACTTACTCACAAAGGTATGCACATTGTTGGGGTGCTCTGTGAATACTGATGGTACATAATTGCTTCTTTGTTGGTTTGTCCTTAGCTATTGAGCATTCCTCTTCTAGGAGAGGTAGAAGGCAGCCTGAGAAGCTGAGTGATTACTTCATGGTCTATAGTTGTGTTCAATGAAAACTTTAGCTGTTTGCAATTGCAAACAAGGGGCGAAAATCTTGATACATAAGATTAATATTGTAAACAGGAAAGCAAACAGTACAAGGGATGGAGCATCTGGGAAAGATCAAGCCCTATAAGAATCTGTTTGGTAGGAGGCAGAAAGGCCACTGCAGGCAGTGTCCTCCGACAGCCAAGAATGCATGGAATGGGCTTTAGGTTCTTATTTATAAATTGGAACAACTGATTGGTCAGCTTTGATGCTGAATTTTGAATTTTGTCATGTCTGGAGGAACCAGACTGATCTGATACATGTCAGGTGGAAACGAGATTGGCATCTGGTTGTTTTGAAAGTGTCTGTGTTGACGTGCTGAGCTCAGTGTGATGAAACTGGAGTGAAACCCAGAACTCAGTTAATGGGCATGCTGGTTCCTGTGTAGCTCTCGCATAAATTCGTTCTGATTTGGAAGGTAAAATGGGCCACTCCTTTTTCAGTTATCCAGAGGACTACAGGTTATCTTTTGGTGTAGATGGCCCTGGAAATTAATTATCCAGGGGTAACGTGCCATGTCCCCTTTGACAGAATCGTGGATTGTCTGTTTTTTCTTTACCAGCAATCCCAGACCTTTTCACCAAGGTTATATATGGAATGAGATTCTAGACTTTGCATAGGCCCTGCCATAGGCTTTCATGTTATTCCAGAGGAAGATGTTTAAGCTATGTGGTTCCTGACTTGCGACTTGTCAGTTCTGGAAATCAGTGCCCAGGAGCCTGAGCTGAGTGTGTGGCCACCCACAACATCACATGAACATGGTGCTGTACTGCAGTTCTTCGCAACCAAGACCTGCCTTGATCAAGCTTGCAGTCTGCTCCTGGCCCTCAGACCATCCACTCTGATGTGAAATGCAGCCTCTCAGTTAACTGGAGATAGCACTGATTCTGACTTTAGCACAGAGCTATGATCTGCAAAGGTCTATAGTGTTTCTGACCATTCTCTTTCATCCCTACAAAACTAATCAGATTCTCAGATGCTGCCATCTTCTTCCTGCTCTGTGCAGGCAGGACCTTTTGTCTTCCAGATGGAGACATATGAGTGGCTCAAGGCCACTGGGAAGAGTCACAATACGGCACATTCCCTGCCCAGGACTTTGTAGTCTTCACCTTTGTTTTACAGACAGCTTATGTGCATTAGACCCAGCCCTAAAGCTCATAGCAAGCTACCAAGAAACTCTGGGCTAGGCAGAGAGTGGGCTACCGTGGGATATGCAATGTCATGTTGGTCTTGTGGCCTGGCTGTGACTGTATCTGGTTGTTCCAGATGAGCCTTGCATCACTCTCTCCTAGTCCTGCATTCTGGGTCATGCGTCTTCCCTAATTGCCCCTTACCTCCGCATGTGTATGTCAGTGTGATGGCCTATGCCACCCCTTTCCTGATCTGTACCTAGTGCTGCCTCAGTGTCCCTAGCTTTTGTAGAGGTTCTGGCTTATGTGCATCAGTAAATTCTGTCTCTTGTGTTGTCTAGTGAGTGACTTGAAAATGGTACTTGCAAGGGAAAAATATAAGTGAACAAGTAGCAAGAGAATCTGTTCTGGCCAGGATGGGGGTAAAAGAGGGTTAGTGGCATCGTAATGTCATGGCTGGTGTATGTGAGTTCTCTGGTTGCCGTTTGCAGCACCAAGTGGTCATCTGTTACTAACAGGCAGGGATCCCAGATACCTCAAGTTTGCTGTTCCAGGGTTCAGTTTGAGATCTCAGTTGTTGCATGGCAAGTGTAACCAAGCGGTAGTTGAGAGCCAGAGCCCGTGCAAAGGTGAGAAAATGGCTGCATGCTCTGAATATTGTAAATCAGTGTGGGGAAAAGGAGATCTTTCAAGAGGAACGATGTATTGCAGGGCTGTCCAGCATAAGTAGCAATCCTTGCTGCTTTTCTGTGCTGTGGTCTGTATGGGATGGTTGCGCCATAGGGGAGGAAGGAGGGTATTGTTGAGTATAACCTCAGTAGCCCCTTCCACTGCTCCGTGCTCCTTCTGCTTGACAAGAAAACACAGCTCTTGGAGTAGGGTGAGTAGCAAGAAGGATGGGAAGACTTTAACCCTTCACACTAAAGGAACTATTTCATCTCCACTGGTGCTAAAAAGCAAGTCATCCTTATGAAATGGATTGGGTGTTGTGTTTGGGAGAGAACCAGACTTTTTCTCAAACTCCGTATGTCCAAAAGATTTGTGACTTGGTTCTTACTTAATCTAAATCTCTCAATTCCCCTAGCTTGTCCATGCCCATCTGCTTGGGTTTTGTTCATGGGGCTGAGATCTCTGCTCGCAGAAGTCCACTCATGTACGAAGACTTGCTTTGGGGGAATCTGAGCTTGTTGTCTCTGAAGCCTGAACTGGTGGCTGGGAGTGTCCTTCCCAAGATGAGGGTGCTTTATGGGTGGTTTGGCTCCAGTGTGATGGGGACTGTTTTCTGCTGGCTTTTTACATAGAATGCTTTGTTGTGCCTCACTTTGCAGCTCCTTCCAGCTCAGGCTGGAAAAATATCTCTGTGGATGGAAAATCTAGGAAGCAGTGAACAGCTTCTTCTGCAATCCCTCTGGAGAATCCAGCAGTCCTGCTTGGCTCATCTATAGAAGAGGCCTGTGACAATGCTTGCTTCTCATCTCTGGCATGTGGCTGGGACTGCCCTGTTTCTAGGAATTTCTTGGTTTCTGGATTATGAAATGGCTTGGTTCTGTGTGCCGGACTAAGCTTCAGGTGAAGCAAGAAACAAATGCACCAAACCACATGCAGTTAGTCTTGGACTGTGTGCAGGACAGAAGGAGTGGTTATTGTGTTTGTGAGGGGCAGTTTTCCCTGTGCCTCCTTGGGCGCATGTGCATCAGGAGCAGTGCCCATGGGCAGTGTTGCAGGATTAATGCCGTGAGCACTCTGCTCTGTACTTGAGGCCTCCATCCCTACGTGTCCCAAGGCATCCTGACTTCCAATCCTTCCTCTTCTTTCAGGGCTGGAGCATGGACTCTGTTCTCCATTTGCATTGTTGACTTGCCAGGTCCTTGGTGTTCAGGTTTCTGCTTCCATACTAGGCCCATGGTAACTGCTGAAAATCAGGTTTAGCTTTGCTGGCAGCTGTGGCAATCCAGACTTCGGCCTTGTTATGGCAGTTTCCAGTTCTCCGTTTACCCCTTGCTGCCAAGACCACAATGTAGTCTTTAAACTCCCTGTAATCTCTGGCATTTCATCTGCAGGTGATGACAAATATGGAAGGAAAGTAATTTTGTTCAGTGCCTGCCGGATGCCCCCAAGTCATCAACTTGATCATGTGAAACTGCTAGGGTGAGTAGTGTCTTAGGAGGCTGCTGTTAACTTCTTAAGCCTGACGTAATTCCCAGGTGCTGGATCCCTGGCATCAAATCTATCTGCTGTAGCTTCTTTAGCTGGACACATCCTCCCAAAGTGCTTACCTCCATTGCTGGGGATGCAAATCCTCTGTTAGGGCACACAAAAATGAGGCCCAAAGGGAGGAAAAGCCTCTCTGTGGCACAGCATGAAGTGAGTTCAGCAATTGTCTCTTCTCAGGTACTTGAAATTCACACTGGACCAGTATGTGGAGAGTGATTACACACTGGTGTACCTGCACCATGGCCTGACCAGTGAGAACAAGCCATCCCTGAGCTGGCTGCGGGATGCCTACAGGGAATTTGATCGCAAGTGAGTAAGGCTGCAGCAAGCAAGGATATGACATGTTGTTCTGTAGTCTAACATAGATGATCTTCCCCAGGTCCCCCATGTAGCTTGGTATCATAATTTACTGTCACTTATTTCTGCTGCTTATGGAGGTGGGTTGTTGTTTAATGCAGGCTGAATCATGGGATAAACAGCTCCTTCTGTAGTTACATCCTTTAGGCCAACAGGCAAGCAGCAAAACTAGGAGCCAGCAGAAGGGTGTCAGCCGCATGGTATAATTGTTGCTTCCTGGTGAGGCTGCTCGCTGCTTCTTGGTGAATCTTGGAATACAGTCGGGCGTGCCCTTAGGCTGCTGAGTAGCCTGACACAGCTATGAAGCATGGGAGAGCAGAGGCCATGGGTGCTGGGGAGTGGTGAGGATCAGTGCAAAAGGAATGGAGCACCCGGGGTGCCTTAATCTTGTGGAAAGGTTGGTTCCTCTGCTTAAAGTGCAGTTCATCCTTACTTAGCTCCTCTTGGCAGGTACAAGAAGAACATCAAAGCCTTGTATATTGTGCACCCAACTATGTTCATCAAGACCCTGCTGATTCTTTTCAAGCCTCTGATCAGGTAGGAAGCACTATAGGAGGCTCACCCACATCCTCACGCTGCAGGGGAATAATGGGGCATTCTCAATGGAGCACAAGATGAGCCCAGGCTGCCAACCCTGCCCTGGCGTCTCACCCTATGCTATCTCCTCCTGTTTCTGAGCTCAGAGATACTCAGACACAAGAAGTACTGCTTTGGGAACCTACGGAGTTTGCAGCTCTATGCTGCTCCTTTTCTATCCAGCCAAGCAGAAGTAAAGTGTTGCAGACTCTGCTAAAAATGAAAAAGGGAGTGAGAACATCACTCCACATTATATTTAATTCATTGTGTTGATGCTGAAATCCTAATTCTGTAAAATAATTGAAAACAAAGCTTTCTCCAGCTTACTGCTAAGCTTAGGAAGGAAAAATCCAGTGTTCTAGGAAGCCTGCTGCTGCTAGGGCTTCTAATGTGACTTGGAAAGTCTTGGTATCTCCTGGTAAAATACATGGAGTTGGAGAACTATGTGGGTAACATCTCTACTGCTTAGCCATACCTGCCCCTTTACACTATTGATGTCTCTTGCAGACCTCTGGTCTCCTTGCCTGTAATAAGTCTGTTCTGATACTGGATTTCCTGATTCCTTACATACCTACTTTTCTCTTGTTTTTCAGCTTTAAGTTTGGACGAAAGATTTTTTACGTGAACTTCCTTAGTGAGCTGGAGGAGTATGTGAAGTTGGAACAATTGGGGATCCCAAGCCAAGTGCTGAAGTGAGAATGCTGCCTATCTCCCATTTGCTTAGGGTTCTGTGAAATGGGACTTTTCTGGAGGAATGGCAAGTGGAGGAAGAGATTGTTCCACTCAGGCAGTGGTTTTGGAGGGAGTGCTGACAAAATGCCTTAAAAACTGTTGTTTCTCTCCATGCTCCTTCCCATGTGTCCTTGGCCCCAGTGCCCAGTTCTGTCCTTCAGTTAAAAATCCTGCTCTGGTGCAGCACCTCTCCTGCCTCTCCCACTCGCCCCTTAGGGACTTCCTGCAAGCTGCTGACCTTAACACTGACCTGGAGCTCATGGTGCACACCTGCTTTGCTCATTCTGCACAGTTCAGGTTGTCTTTGGGGCTTCCCAAAGTTGCCATAATCTCGGTCCTACCAGATTGATTCTGTCCCTCACGCACACATGCAACTGTCTCATCACCAGCAGTGCTGTCCTGGGCTCCTGCCCACGCTGTCTGTCATCCTCAGCTACTCCAGTTCCTGATTCCAGATAGAGATTCCTTTCTCCCTGCTTTTTGCTGGCAACCAGATGTTTGTTGTTCTTGCGTCCGTACTCCAGAGCTGCCTGTCCTGTTTTTGATAGGTGAAATCAACCATGCTACGCTGGAGCTGTTACCAGTGGGTGTGCAGCAGGTCACATGCAGTGCTGGGTTCATGCTCTTTCTGGGAGGTGGAGTGACTTTTTACTAGTCTGTGTTTTGCCACAGATACGATGAATATCTGAGATCCCTGCAGAAGCCTCCACAAGTGCCCCAGAAGCCAACACCCCCACGTCCACCGCTGCCAAACCAGCAGTTTGGAGTCTCGCTGCAGCAGTGAGTATCTCTGGGTTGTGCTGCTTTTGCCCTGACTTGTTTGATGTGAGGTCATTGTATTTGTAACTGAACAGCAGCAAAAGTGGCTATAAAATTTCTTGCAGTTCAGACTTTCTACAAAGTTTTAATCATTCTTCTGAGGAACTCTGTGCTCATGTCCAGATCCTGACTCAGTTCAGTTCCACCCTCTTGATTCCCCAGCTAGATTGTATCTAAATTAGGGTGAGGTAGTTTCTGCAGCTAAGGGTCACTAAGGGAGGAGCAAAATAAGGGCCATGGGGACGGCTTCATGCCACTAGAAACTTCCTTTAAGCAAAGGAAGTCTGTAGGAGGCTGATCAAGATGTCTTTAGGGCTATGCTATTTTGATTGAGCAGTGCTGCAGATCTCTTATTTTTTTCCATATCATAAGTTCTATTTTAAAAGCACTTCTATTCACCCTTGTACTGATTCCCACTCCCCATTCCTGCACGGTGACACAGACAAACACAGACACTGGCAAGGGCTAGTGATACTGGCTAAGTGTTGAAGGTATTTTTAACTTTGAGTGTGATTTTGCCTCCCTGGAGAATGAGGAGGAGCCAGTACTGCGTGGCCAGACAGATCCTCTGAAGCAATCTGGGAACACATTTCCCAGCTTCAACGCAACATTTCCAAATGTAACCCCCGTGGTGCTGTGTGCCTGAGCTTGTTAGCAGTCTAGGAAGGGTGAACAGCCCCATGCTATCAAGTAGTATAGACAATCGAATGTGAGGGTGGCAGCGAACGCCTCAGCATCACTAGGTCTTCCGTGACAGCCATTGGGTTGATACATCTTCCGTTACAGGAGCGGGGTGCGTAAACTTATCCCATGTGTATTTCTCTCATGTCAGCTTCTTTCTGCCCTTGCTTCTATGGGGAAGGAAGAAGGAAGCTTAACCCTTTTCACCTGATTCATAACTAGTAGCCTTGCCTTCTGGGAACCCCTTTGCCCTGGCATCTAGAGGCTATGATTTTTACAGAAGATAGAGAAATATTCACAGATTCAGAGATGGGTAGGGGTTGGAAGGGACCTCTAGAGATCATCTAGTTCAACTCGCCTGCTAGAGCCGGATCACTTAGAGCATGTTGCAGAGGATGGCGTCCAGGCGAGTTTTGAATATCTCCAGAGAAGGAGACTCCACAGCCTCTCTGGGCAGCCTGTTCCAGTGCTCTGTCACCCTCAGAGTGAAGAGGTTTTTCCTCATATTCAGATGGAACTTCCTGCATTCCAGTTTGTGCCCATTGCCCCTTGTGCTGTCACTGGGCACCACAGAGAAGAGCCTGGCCCCATCCTCCAGACATCTACCCTTTAGATATTTGTAAGTATTGATGAGATCCCCTCTCAGTCTTCTCTTCTCCAGGCTAAACAGACCCAGCTCTCTCAGCCTTTCCTCATAAGGGAGATGGTCAAGTCCCTTAATCATCCTTGTAGCCCTCCGCTGGACTGTCTCCAGTAGTTCCCTGTCTTTCTTGAACCGGGGAGCCCAGAACTGGACACAATATTCCAGATGTGGCCTCAGCAGGGCAGAGTAGAGGGGGAGGATAACCTCCCTCGACCTGCTGGCCATGCTACTCTTAATTCCTGTGGTGTAGTAATGAGCTCATACTTGCTCCAGTGAGTGAAGTAGCATGATGGGTGAAGAAGAGCGAAGGCTGGAATAATGGCTGAACCAGGGACCTAGGTAGCAAGAAACTATGTGGTAGAGCTTGTGTGGGCAACTTCAAGATTCAGGGGCTGCATGCAGGGTGGGGAGGACCAGTCATTTGTAACCTTCTATCTTTTCCCGCAGTCTCAGGGAGAAGAGCCCTGACCAGTCTCCTGTTCCTCTGGTGGTCAGAGACACCATTGCTCATTTGCAGGAGCATGGTAAGTGTTCAGGGGAAGATGCAGCCTCTCTTAATTCCATGTCAGTGGCTTCTCCTCCACCTAAGTTCCCATCCAGACTGTGGTAAGATACAGAAGAACAGCAGTCCAGAATAAGGTGTAAAGGCCTGAACTAGGTGAGTTAGCCTTCAAGAGAGATTGTGCAGAGCTTAAGAGACCTTTTTCTTCCAGTTGTCCATACTCCCACTTATATAAGAGTAGTGAAATGCTCCTTGTATCATTTCCCTGGTAGTGGAAGCAGAAAGAATTGCTGTACTCTAAAAAAAGGGACTTGTTGACATCTATCTGAACACCCCACAGCATGGATTTATGATTGTTAAGACCAGCATTTTTAGAGACTCACATGGCTGATCTGTCTTCTCCATCTGCTCTCACCTCACAGCTCTTGCTACAGAGGGGATTTTCCGGAGATCAGCAAATACACAGGTTGTCAGGGAGGTCCAGCAAAAATACAATATGGGTAAGTGTCCAAACTCAGCAGAGCCCCTTTCATTCCCTAACTACTACTGTCCAACTGGAACTGTGTTGGAACTAGTCCATCATGGCGTCTCTCTTTCTCTGAGTGGCCTCTAGGTGAGGCCCCATCAGGGAATGACCTGAGTTGCGAGGGAGAAGCATCTGATACTTCTGCTGAGTGGAAAGCATATTCCTTCCCACTCAGGTTCCCCTCACTGCCCTTTTCCTTCCTGAAAATTTCCCTGTTTCTTGAGGTGAGATATACCATCTTAGTCTGGTTATACTGGAGGGACTGAAGATGACCAGGAAGAAACTTGGTCATCTGTTTAATTTGATGACTTCTAAAGATGTAGTGCTGGATTCAGCAGTGCTCTGCATATGCTTTTGGGACACATTTTTCCACTCTGCTAGAAGATGTGGTGCTTTAGTACCCTCCCTGTGTTCTTTAAAATACAGCTTCCATAGTTCTGGGCTCTGACCACCATGTCCCATTTGTTGTCTGGAGAAGGTTCTGCTTTGGCCAGCGAGTCTCTGCTCTACTTTCTCAGGTGTGCCTGTAGATTTCCAGCAGTATGAAGATGTCCACCTGCCTGCTGTGATTCTCAAGACCTTCTTGAGGGAGCTACCTGAGCCCCTCCTCACTTTTGGCCTCTACAGCCATGTTGTCAGCTTCCAGAGTGAGTTGTAACAAGACACTGAATGTTGCACTGGCCAAAGGGGCAAAGATACTTTCAGGAGGGGGCAGTCCTGCATGGGATACCCTGTGACTGCAAACAGGGCTTTCATCAGGGTGGGTGCTGAGGATTCCTCATGGACCTGCTTGTCCTATCTCTCTTGATTTTCAGGTGTGGAGGAGGTGAATCGAGTGGATGTTGTTCGCAAAACACTCCAGACTCTACCAGAAGAAAACTACCAAGTGCTCCATTTACTGACAGCCTTTCTGGTGCAGGTGAGCTGCTCCAAAGGTGGGCAGTCATATTGTAGTTCAGTTGCCAGTGCCTTGCATCAGCTTTTTGACTGTCTGCTCCCTCTTTTCCTTTGAGAGGAAATGGGTCTTAAGCTAGGAAATTGCCTTTCTTATGTTCTTGTTACACAGAGATCAAGAATGATCATGATGAGCTAGCCTAAGCGGTTGCTTCTCATAACGGTGAGAAGTGCAGGCGGGCATTAAGCCTGTGTGGTCTGTACCAGGGAGGCTGAAAGCTCCCCAGGGTGGAGGTACAACTGCAAATTATCTGAGTAGAAATCTTCTACTAGGAGTCTTGGATCCACCCTACAGAACTTTCTGGTGCCAGGGAAGCCACTGCAAGGCTGTTCTAGCAAGAGGGAAGATAATTTTGTTTTGATTGGTGACCTGAACTGTAGAGATAGTGGCTGACAGTGCTCTTGGTCCTATTGGTATGATATGGCCTGGTGGTTAAGCCATAGTGGTAAATGGCAAGATATTGCTCCTCGCCTCCTGAATGCTGAATGTCATGTGTGTTTCCCCCAGCCATCTTCTGGCATTGACCCTTCAGCTTCTCTCTTCCCCTTCGCCCCTGGGGAGTCTGTCAGCTCTGGCTTTGGGGAGGGTTGGGGGCAGCTGCTGTGTTGTTCTGTAGGATTCACAATGGTCTCTTTCCTTCCCCCATAGGTCTCTGCTCAGAGTGACAGAAACAAGATGACAAACACCAACCTGGCTGTTGTGTTTGGCCCAAATCTGCTGTGGGCCAAAGATGTAGCCATCACCCTAAAAGCCATCAACCCCATCAATACCTTTACCAAGTTCCTGCTGGACCACCAGAAGGAGCTCTTTGAGGATGTGGAGGCCTGAATACAGGCCAGTCCACACCAGCACACTGTGCTCACCTTCCCGCCTTCTTTCCCACCTTGTCTTGGAGCTGTGACCAAGCTGTCTCCAGTGCAAAGGGACCATTGATCCTCTGGGTGATGAGCAAAGCGAGGGCTGTGGAGATGGTGGAGAAAGTGTGTAAGTAAGCAAGCAGGAGACCTGCTGCTCTGGATGGGGAGCTGGTCTCCCAGCTGCTGAGTGGAGTCCTAAACCCACCTGCCAGTCTGTGCAGCTCCTCCAGGGCTCATCACCAGTCTGCTGCCCTATCAGATGACCTGCGTTCCTTTCCTCTTTCCCGCATGTGCAGTTTTTCTGCCCTCCTGGTCCCTTCCTCAGCAAAGATCTTTTTTGTTAAAGCTCCCGATAGCCCCAGCTCACCCGCCTTGCCTCAGCTGGGCTGTCTGGGCTAGGACAGGCTTGCTGGGTTTTGTGACGGAGACGTTCTTGCTGCGAGTGCCATCTCTCAGCACTGAATGTGCATCCTGCCTTTCCCCAGAGGCACCTAAAGCAGGGAAGGGAGCCAGGCAGCCCTTGTGCTCCAGGTAGCAGTATGTCCTGCACTTGCAAACACCACTCTAGACCCCATACTTTTGGCCGGCAAGTGAAGGACCAGCTCACGGCACACGGGCTGTATTACCTGTCAAACTCCAATACAAGGAAGCCGAATTTAGCCCAAACCCCTCTGGGGTCACCCACTCCAGATACTTTTCAGTGTTTTCTGGGATGTAGTGGGTGAGGTGCCTCCCATAGTTACCCCTCTCAGGTATGTTTGTCCCTCCAGCGGCATTTCCAGCCCGGCTGGGAAGGTTCCTGCCAGCCCTGGCTGTGCGGGAGGGCTGGCTGGTGAGTCTGAATTGCAGGGAGCAAGTGCCCTGG